AGTGAGGAAACAGTGATAAAAATCCCCGAAGGGTTCAAATAGTTGGCACGAAGCCCAAATATGGTAGTCAGCCCAAATCATGATGATAACAAATGAATTTCAATTAAATATTTGGTAAAATCATCAATCGGGATGGACAAAGTCACAATCCCCAGTAGTGAAAGACCCTACGCTCATCATCCAGCGCGTATCTTGCCTCAATATAGCACTACGATGTGCAAAACGGGGTTTCAAACCCTCAGGACATCATTTACAACCATTACTCACCTCGAACTGGCTAATTCTCTAGCTCGCGACGCCTTTGCCCCTCGAATTGGCCTCCACGCGCGTCGAATTTATCCAAAATCAAAACGAATATGTCACAATATGCTAAGGGAATAAAGCCCAAGCGAAAACATTCGAAAATATCAAAAATCCCGAAATTAGCAAATCCCGAGCCCCGGGACCACGTCTCGGAATCGGGTAAAATTTACATTTTCAGAATCCTCATACCCTCACGAGTCTAACCATACCAAAATTATCCAATTCTGATACCATTTGGTCCTTCAAATCATCATTTTACATTTTTGAAAGGTTTCACAATTTTCTTCCCAAATTCCATCCCAAATCACGAATTAAATGATGAATTCAGTGATAGATTCATGTATTCTAGCCAAATCTGAGTTAAAATCACTTACCCCGATGAATTTCTTGAAAAACCTTCAAAAAATTGCCAAAATCCGAGCTCTCGAGGTCAAAATATTAAATAAAACCCAAAACCTCGTTTTCATAGAGTACCCCTCAGGTTCCAGCCTCCGCGGGCCGCACCAAAACGACCGATGTCCGCGCAAACACAACCGCGGCCGCACATGCCTTCTTCTGCAGTGACATGCTTTAGTATTTTGGCCATAACTTTTTCTATATATGTCCAAATTGCGATATCTTTAGCTTTCTGGAAACTAGACACGAAGGGCTACAACTTTCGTTTTTGAATCATCTCAAACTTCCTTGTGGATCAAAGGATATGAGCTTCCGAAGTTGGACCGACGATCTGCAAATCTTCATGACCGCGGCCGCGGTCACTTTTACGCGCCCAGCACTAAGCCAGCGCGCCCAGCGCTAATTCTACCGCGGTCAGCGCTAACAATTCTGCCTCCATCCATTTTCTAAGTTTCGAAATGTCCGTACTCGCTTAAAACTCACCCGAAACACACCCGGAGCCATCAGACCTCAACCCAAACATACCAACACCTCCCATAACATCATTAACACCTAGTCGAGTTTTTGAATCACTCTGAACAACATCAAAACACAAAATCAACTTCGGATTCAAGCCTAAGAACTCCAAGAACTCTTAAATTATGCTTTCGATCAAAAAGTCTATCAAATCTCGTCCGAATGACCTGAAATTTTGCACGCACATCCCAAATGACACAACGAAACTACTGAAACTCTCGGAATTCCATTCCGACCCCTATATCAAAATCTCACCTATCGGCCGGAAAGCGCCGAAATCTTGATTTCGTCAATCCAAGCCTAAACCTTCCACGGACTTCTAAAATGCATTCCGATCACGCACCTAAGTCCCAAATCACCTAACGGAGCTAACCAAATCATAAAAATTCCCATCCGAGATCAAATACACATAAGTCAAATTTTGGTCAAACCTTTCCAATTTTAAGCTTTCAAGTGAGACTGTTCTTCCAAATTCATTCTGATTAACCTGAAACCCAACACAAACGATTTACATAAGTCATAATACACCACACGGGGCAAGTCATGCCCGAGAACTGGCGGCGAAATGCAAAAGCTCAAAGCGACCGGTCGGGTCATTACACCCTAGTCTCACCCCAAAAGTACATGTTATAACATTCCCAACTTGTCGACTTTTCACGAAACTTATTTTCTTCAATTCATTTAGCTTTGAAGCCTTCAAACTCTCTTAGTACTTGGTATTCATGATCTTAAATATTTGTAATCTCCACTGTAAAATGATTAACTTATTTACGTACTTTCAAAGTTGATCTCATTTCTGAGATTATATCAATTGACTTACGGATACTCTAACGTACGAAAACATAGGGTGTAACATAAATATGCTTTGCAAAGCTCTCGTAGGCGAAGTTTTTGTAACGATCCGACCGGTCATTTTGAGAATTTGCACTTTTCTCGGTAGTTTGGGGGCACAAGTAGCTCCGTATGATGTATTAGGACTTGTGTGCAAAATTTGAGTTCATTCCGAGTTGATTTGATATGTTTCGGTGCAAGTTTTTGGAAGTCGAAAGTTTTAAGTTTGATTTGAGATGCATTTCGTTGTTTCGATGTTGTTATTCGTGATCTGAGGCCTCGAGTAGGTCCGTATTATATTATGGGACTTGTCAGTATGTTCGTACGGGGTCACGAGGGGCTCGGGTGAGTTTCAGATAGGTTTGGGCTATGTTGTGCTCGTTTTTCTTATGTTTCAACGTTGTTTCTTCAAGCATAAATGATACCAAATTAAGCAAATGAGCTCCAATTTCTGTTGTGATTGAAGCATTAGATCTGTATCGTAATTTTGGAGGCATAGCAAAAAGAATCATTGAAATTGGATATCGTATAAGGATTTTATGGTCATTTTACAAAGAATTGGGTTGCCAGATTTTTTCAGATTAATTACAAAATTCCCACTGACTTCGTATTTAAAAATCTGCACTATTTCTAAATATTGAAACCAACATATCTCCTTCATTATAAGGCCAAATGGAGTTATTCAAAAGCCTATCTTGACTGAAATTTCACAAGGAATCCATTGGGGGCATCAAAAGCAAGTTTCGGGATCGTTTGGCATGCAAAACGAGGCAGAACAGCTAGGCAAAATTACTTAATATGAAGGTTTGTTCATTTGGTCATATTTTGAGTTGGGGAGCTCGGATTTGGACAATGTTTGGCGACGATTTTCACCATATAGATTGGGGTAAGTGTTCTATACTCGATTTTGGTTATATTTCATGAATCCATCTTCGTTTTTGGCATTTGATTAATGATTTCAAAGTGAAATTTAGGGGTTTTATCTAAAATTTCATAAAGTGAATTTTTGAGTTTTGAACACCGATTTGGAGTTGGATTTGAGTGAAACTAGTATGGTTAGACTCATAATTGAATGGGTTGTCGGATTTTATAAATTTTATCGGGTTCCGAGGTACAGGCCCGGGTTAGGCTTTTTGGCCGATTTTGGGCTTTTGATTAAAGATTCGACCTTTGTCGATTGGGATTGGTTCTTTTAGCATTGTTTGATGTATTTGAGTTGTCTTTTGGCTAGTTTTGAGTCGTTTGGAGGTCGCTACGCGTGAGATGGCACTCTTGGAGCCTCGCTTGGCTTGTTCGGCAGTCAGAATTAGCTTGTTTGAGATAAGTAACTCTTCTAAACTTAGTGCTGATGGTATGAAACCCCGAATTACGTGTTATGTGGTTGATGTTGAGGTGATGCACATGCTAGGTGACGGGCGTGTGGGCATGCAACCTGTGAATTGTGACTCCATTGTTTCCAGGGCACTGAATAGTGGCCTTATTTTGTTGATATCTGTATTTTCACCATGTGATAAAGTAATTGAGTTGTGATCTATGTTAGACATCATGTCTAGGCTACGTGCTTATCCTATTGGGACCCACTGAGGTTATTTTTGTTGTTGAGTTATTTTCTTTCGTTGTTTTATATACGCAGTCATACGCATTCATATGCATATCATATCTCAGTCTCTGTTGTTATTTACTGATACTTCATATCATCATTTTTGGGCTAGTTTCATGACATTGTGAGCCCGAGAGAGAGAGAGAGAGACTGAAAAGATAGATGACTGAGTGAGGCTGAGGGTTTGATTTGAGATATTGTTACTATGGCACGTGAGTTGTCCGTGCAGCACGTGAGTTGTCCGTGCGGATCCTGATATTGATACTATGGCACGTAACTTGTCTGTGCAGTACGTGAGTTGTCCGTGCGGATTATAGCGCTTGGGTTGAAGGAGCCTCTCCGAAGTCTGCACACCCCCAGTGAGCACAGTCGACTATGTATATGTATGTGGATCGGGTTGCACGCCGCAATGATTATTGTACAGTGCTGAGTGACTGAGTGTGCTGAGTATTGAGTACGGTTAGAGATAATGCGAGACAGTAAGGTTGAGTATTCTAAGAGCGTGAGTACATGATTCATCTCTGAGATACATGGCATTGACATGCACACATGACATACAGGCATATAGATGCATTTTTCCTCATGTTGTACAGTATCACATTATTCATGACTTTTCACACAGATTGATATGTGGTATAGTGAGGTATTTCACACTTGTTATCTGGAAAGATAAAATGAAACATCTTATTTATTGTGGAAATGATTTTTGGAAAAATTACAGTTTTCAAACTATCTCATATTTTTTTAAGTTTTCGGTAAAGGATTTGGGTTTTCACTAATATACTTGAAAAGTGGAACTATTTTTCGGAAAATTATGAAAAGGTTGAGCATGTTATCTAGAGCTACTTCTTTATTTACTTGCGCTATATTGTTATGAATTGTTGTTAGTTATTGGTGTTGGACCCAATCTATGTACCAGCTCGTCACTACTTTCAGCCTAAGATTAGGTTTGTTACCTATTGAGTACATGAGGTCGATTGTACTCATACTACACTTCCTACGCACTGCGTGCATATTTCAGATGCTAATGTTACTGTGCATGGAGGGAGCTAGCATTGAAGGTGCACTTGCGATCCAGACTTAACTGCCTCTTGTTCATGGTAGTCTTAGATTTTGTAAAACTCTGTCTATGTACGTTCAAACAGAAGATGTATTTACTTCATATCAACTTTGTAAACTCTATTATTAGAAGCTCATGATTTGTACTACCAGTCCTTGGGAATGTATAAGATTTAGATAATTTCTTTGATTAATTATCCTGTTAAATATCATTGAAACTGAATAGATATTAATTGACTTACCTAACGGGTTGGGTTAGGTGCTATCACAACTAGTGAATTTTAGGTCGCGACAGTTTTACATCAAATAATTTGTTGAAAATCTTTGGAGTTCTACAAAATTGTCGGTACAACCTTCCAGAGGGTAAATTTACATCGAGGATAGGACAAAAGGACTACAATAGATTACAACATATGGGCAGCCATAATATGATCTGAAAGGAAGAGAGACTGTAGCTGAACAGTCTTGACTCGCGAAGAATTTGTAGTGTAGAACACGAGGTAGCCACAACAAGTACCTTATTTGAAATTCGCATTAAGCTCTTGGAAAGGCCACAAAGAATCTGCTGCTGGTGAAGTGGATTTCTGCTGTTTTTATATTAGATGCCTGCCAACTGAACCAGTTCTCCTAAACATGTAGCAGAGCAAGAGAAGAGCTTAAAATATGTTTCTGTTCCTCATCATAAAAGCTCAGCCTCTTCCTGGTCTGCATCAGCATCCTCGACATCATTCTCTTCATCTTCTTCAGGAGCATCAGGATCTACTCCCTGCCGAAAATGGATAGGTTCATTTAAGCACACAGTGGAACCAAAAAAAACTGTCTAATGAAGGGCTAGCGTAAATACACTCAATATATGCATGACATCAAGCAAACATAAGTAAACAAATACCAAGGCCAAAATGAATTTGGGTGTCCCATGATGGATGGAGAATTACTAGCCAAGTTTAGTAGAAAACATATCTTATAAGATTCTTTTCAATAATCGAGAAATTCCCGAGCGCCAGTGTGGCATGGTTCGAAATTCTTCTCCACTTAAATACTAGGCTTGCGTCTGCGGCAGGGTTCGAACCCGTGAAGTGCCCTAACCCACATGACACAGGATGCACTCTTACCCCTAGACCAAAGCCGTGCGGGCCATATGTTCGGATTTAAGACAAGCATATAAAGGAAATGATTTCACGTTGAACAGGAAACAAAACCTTGAGCTGCTTCTCCAGGCGCTCCAACCCTTTCTTTGCAGCTTCATTTTGGGGATTTATCCTGACAGGCAGAGCAAAAAATTGTTTTAAGTAATTGGAATTATGTCACTTTCATGCAAACTGCTTCTCTTCTCATTTCTTTTACCTTCTAGAATTTAAAGCACAGATAAGTTAAAGGGCTGATGTGAGATTAATTATCTAACACATCTAATGCCTTAAAATCTAGCAGAAAAAGATTGCAAGAAAATTCAAGGAAAAGTAGGACTACCTCAGTGCTGCCTGGTAGTGTGACAAGGCATCTTGTGGCATATTTGTTGCAGCAAATACTTGGGCAAGCTTAACATGCAACGAGTCATCAGCCCAATCCTTGAGATACCGCTCAAGGAGAGTAACAGCATCTACAGTTCGACCTTCAATGACATGCAGTTCTGCCAAGGCTAGCGCTGCTCCAAGATAACCAGGTTCCAGCCTTAGTGAAGATTCATAGAACTTCTTTGCCTGTAAAAAGAGTTGGTACTTGAAATTTCAAGAAAAAGGAAAAGGAAATAAAGTGCTACTCAGATATACTATATTGTTATGTTTTCTCCCGTAAGGTAATATTTTATTAATATTGTGGGGAAAAACCCCCATATACAAGAGGTATACCAAAAGTAGAGAACCTACACAAAGATATGGTTATCTACAAAACCACCCAATCATCTATACAAACATGAATCTCGCGGATTTTTGAAAAATATATAACTTAGAAGATAGCTGAAAGATTTTTTTTTTCCTTTGGTACCATAAGAGAAAAATACAAACAAAAAAGACAGAGAAGAACAAACATACTTCCTTAAAAGATGGTACAGATCAAGTCTTACCAAATTGGATTTCCTTTACATGCAAAAAGAGAAAATGTCAAATGAAAATTTGAGACCTATGTATAGTTTGACATATAAAGAAAAAGCACCATACCACTTTAAAAAAATCTATATTAAAACGTGTTGCGATACCATTCTTTTCCGCATAATGTATAAGATTTATCTATTTCAACTTTTAGTTTTCTGATTTGGACTTTTATAAACTGAAACAGAAAAATCATTGGTCAACGAAGATTAAAAAAATGTCCAATTTTAGGTGACACGATCACTGTTTGTGTATTAAACCAATTTTTCCTTCAGATTGATATTCTGAAATATTTCAAAATACTACTCCCTCCGTTTCAATTTATATGAACCCATTTGACTGGGCACGGAGTTTAAGAAAAGAGAGAAGACTTTTGAACTTGTGGTATAAAATGAAGCACATATATTTTGTGTGGTTATAAATCATTGTATAAAGGTAAATTGTTTCCAAATAGAGAAAGAGGTCATTCTTTTTGGCACGGACTAAAAAGGAAATAGGTTAACATAAATTGAAACGGAGGGAGTATTAATCTTTCAAAAGTCGACCTGTTTTGTACTTTTTATAGTTCCTAAATATAAATGTTTGTCCTTAGAGAAAAAATGTATGAGATCAATTCAAAAAGTAGACAGTTCACTTTCATACTCCAAAAATGTAATTGATTCTGGGGAGACGGAAGTAATTCTTAACAATTTTAAATCTATAAAAGTACAAGCTTCAGAGCATTATCCCAGACATTTCTGTAATCAAAGATTTTTTACAAACATTATAAGAAAATATTACTTAAATATTCTTTTGAAATGTAAACTAGATACTTTAATAATTTAGGTGTATCAGAAAAGCATGTTCCCAGCTCTCACCTTAACAATCTTGTCAAATCATATAAAAAATTCAATTTGAAAGAAACAGTATATAAATACATCTTTAAAATTTTGCAACCAATAATATGCAAGTAGGAATCCTGCTGCTACCTCTGTTAGTTTTAAATTTCACCAGAACCTTTATGATTCTCTAACAAAAAGCTAATACGAAATATCAAATAAACCAGCTAACTCTGAGGACTCAATTCAAAAATCAAAAGGTAAGAAAGAAGGACATCTCAATTATACCTTTTCCCTCCCACTAGTATTACTAGCATGTACATCACCCACCAATTTTAGAGCTTTTGCTGACTGTGGCATGGCCTTCATTGCCTCCCTTGCAGCATGCAGTGCCTCCTTGATCTTTGAAATTGCTAAATAAGAGCGTACTAAACCTATGTATTTGAGAGAAACTCATTAAGAAAGGAATGGAATAATGCAAAGGCGTCATTCAAAGAAGCAGAATGCTAGTAACCTATACAATCAAACTTCACCCTCCTTTGAAACAAACCTTGATAAGAACGAAGATCAGGTCTCAACTCTTGAGCACCTCTAAAGGCAACCACAGCAGCTTCAGGTCGATTCATCGAGAAGAATAAATTTCCCTAGATGTTGGCCAAAACAAAGAATAATCTAACTATGTGGCATTGAAAAGTATTCACTACACACAAGAACAAATCTAAGCGCACCTTCATTATATAACCTGGTATATGTCTCTCATCAATGCGGATGCTCTGGTTGCAAAAAAGCAACATTATCACTAGTTTATGCTTGATTCATCAACAACAATCTCAAAAAGTAAAACTAAACAAAACTAACCTTCTCAGCATAAGATAAAGCCCCTCTCTCGTCTTTCCTTTCCCATAAGACAGACAAGGCCACAAAAACCTCAGGCCTGGTCGGGTCTATGTTTAGTAGATCATGTACTAATTTATTCAACTTCGAATAATCAGATTTCTGCTTTAAGAGCATAGCATACTCGTCCATATAAGTTATAACATACGGATCAGTGGATCGAACCTGTAGAGACCATACAATGTTATATGTAGTACACATTTAGAAATGATAAAAATATCACATCAAGATGTAGCACTCGTTTTACCTTTCTCAAAATCTGTTATAGCTTCTTCAGTTTTTCCAATGATGGCTTCAACCTTCAGAAACGTGAATATGAGACAGGGATACGCATAACATTTTGCTTATTTTCAGAACAAAGTTGCCAGAGAAAAAGCTGAGACTCTGTGTCCTTTAAGTGTTTAGGGTAAAAACTGTCATCCTAAGAAATGAGCATTCGACCATCCGTGAAAAGAAACAAATACGAAGAGTAGTTCTCTAAATCTGGGTAATTTAGAACAATCATTACAATCAAGGAATTCCCTTGAAAGCAGGGCAAAGATGTAAATGATTAGACCAGACAAATCTAAAACATGGAAAGATAATGCTAGGCATGTGATACTTCACTATATCGACCTGTCTACGTGAATCTGACACCAGTAAAGGAGATAGCCAGTATAGAGAATATTTGATCCACAAGAAAGAAAAGGAACAACTACTTTCACATAACCCTGTTATATTTCAAATGATACAACCATGAGCCTCTGACATGTTAATCATGATCATTGTATTGCCCATTTGACCTACTGCCAAACACATGTAAAAAGGAACTATGAATAAAAGGAACATTGTACTATTCAATGAATATTTACAATAATTTTCCATATAGTCATTCTTCCCTAACCTTAGCCATTTCAAGCAGTATATGTATGTTACAAGGGAATCGTCGCAGAAGCTCAGCAAAAATTTCCAGACCACCTGCAGAATAAGAACAATCAAACAAAAACTAAGACCAAGTAGAAACGAGTTTTTGGCTAGAGGACATTTTGATAGCACTTTGCCCCTGTTCTCCCAGTTCAAAGACAAACAGATTTTTTTGATAATATAAATCTTCCAGTATACAAGTGGTATATGTGTTATGTGTTTCTTTTTGTGCTATTAGAAAAAAGAAAAGCAACAGCAGATATACAAAATTTAGGAGACAGAGAACCCAATGAAGCTGTTTTCATTTGCTAATCAATTACAGTGAGTCAATGAGCAGGAGGGTATCCCCTGAAGTTAGACTATTCAGGTGTGAAGATTAGCAAGACTCCTGCCCTTACATTTTTTATAACCGCCATAACATTTATCTTCATATATCGCAAAAAAATCAGTTTTCCCGAATAGTTTTCTGAAAAATCAAACCAATTTTAGTAAAAGAGAAGGGGAAGGATAATTTTTAAATACTGAAAAATCAATGATCAGGTCAGCTACAATTTTAGCGACTAGTCATTAGTTTGATCAATTTCTTTTCTTAGCATAGCATGTAAGAGAATTTGAAAATCATCACTTCGGTTAGTTTCCATCAGCAATTTTTAGATTACTCCCACAAATTTGATACCCTATATCTTATTAATTCTAATATTTTAATTAATAAGATTAGCTTCTACTCCCTCCGTTTCAAATTAGATGAGGTACTTTCCTTTTTAGTTTGTTCCAAAATAAATGACACATTTCTAAATTTGGAAATAATTAAACTTTAAACTCTTCATTTTACCCATTTTACTCTTAATGAGAAGCTTTTATAATCACACAAATGTCATGGCCCCACAAAGCTTTTACCCCTTAAGCTTTTAAGACCACAAGTTTTAAAAATCTTCTTCTTTTTCTTAAACTCCGAGTAAAACTACCTCATCTAAATTGAAACGGAGGGAGTAATATTTTTATTTATTTTAATAGCAAAATCAATAAAGATTTAGGAATAACTTTCTTTAGAGGGCAAATGTTAAATTGCTTAAAAATACTGAGAACATTCGCTAAGTTTGGTCAAAAGTAGATGGTACGTGTCATATAAGGTATAAAGTAATATTACTAATTATTAGTTAGAGTTAATACAGTTAGAATATAAACATGTATAAACAAGTAGATAGAGTCAACGAGATACAAGGAGGTATACCATTAAAGCAACAAAGACCGAGAAGGGGTGCAAGCTGACAAAACCAATAAATTGTTTGGTCAGTTATTTCACTGTAACAATTCCCCATTGTAGTATAGCTTCAGGTTTTCCACAATATAATTTCTACACGATCACATTTAGTATCTTGTCAGATTTTATTTTGAAATTTAAGTATGAAAGCGATACAACAATCCAACTAATTTGAATGAATCTAGTGACACTCAATTATATACATTAGGTTTTACAAATTAATACGTTACCTTAACATTCCCTCCCTATTAAAATAAGAACAGAAATTTTCTCGTTTGTAACAGTTTTAATATTTTGAATTTTCTTCAACATGCTACGAATACCATACTGTTTCTCTTACAGCAGAATATTTTAGAAGTACTGAAAAGTAGAGGAAAATTGCTCCGCTGGTCGAACAATGATTTGGGGCTTCATCTTGTACCTTTAATAAAAGTGGATAGAGTGATGGTTTGACAATTTATTGTGGCCTCTTCAGTATTCAGAGGTATTGTATCAAGGGTCAAAGTAATACTGCAACTATAAGCTAAAATAGTCAAACCGGCACATTTTAATTAGGAAAAGATTGTCACCTTTATAATCATTTGAAGCAATGCAACATTGGGCTTCAACATAACGCTGCACAGGAGGAAAAGAATAATATGAACATTAGATAGATATTATCGATGAAAAACTAATGCTTAAAAGACTGGAATAAAGTGAACATTGGCAGATAACCATCCGACGAGATCTTAAATAATTATACCAACTAGTCTTAGGGTACGCGCTTTGCGCGTGCACCCATATTATTGAATATATAATTTTAAAATAATATAAATATCATCAAATAATATATTTGACTATGAAATTAAATGAAAGAAAAAATGTTGGTTCTTTGAAAATGATAACTGTTGATCCCATTTTGTTAGCTCAATAAAGGAAAAATCTTCCCCATAGAAGTCTGCATATACCTTATTGTAATTTGTGAGATTTTTTATGGGAATATCTTATGAAAATTATCGTTATTTCTGCAGCCTAATACTTAAAAAAATTAAAAATATTTTTATTAATAAAGATAAATTAAATAATTTGAAATTGAATCTTTTGGTCTTGATAAATGATGAGGTTGGCTTTATAGCTCATAGAAAAAAAATAATAAGTGACAATACAAAGTCAACTGATTTTGAGTTACTATTTTACAACTATTAACTTAATATAGAACAAATGTTGCCGTTTTTTGGAATAAATGCAAATAATAATAATAATTCACGACAACTTATTTAGAATATATTTTGTCTTCCACTATTTCATCTTTATCATTTTTAGTTTACATTTTTACTAATTGGACTCTTAATACAAATTCTTTAACTAAATTGTTTATTTTTTCACTGTTATTGCGCCTTTTATGGAGATAAATTTATGTATCCTAAACTTTTTGCTAACCTGAAAACTAATTTACTTATATGATGAATTTAAAAAATAATTAAAGTGGATTCTTTTGCTAATTAGTAATTCAAAGACTTAAATTTTTTCTGAGCATTAAAGGAAATAGTATGTGTTTTGTCTATTCAAGTTCTTCATATATTAGCTCATTCATAGTTTTGAATATTTTTTACTACAATTATAATTTTTTCCAATAAAAAATTTGCATTGTTGAAGAGTAAAAATTATTCTAATATTTCAATTTTGAATTTTTTGTGTTTATAAAACTCTCAACCATTTTTCTTTCTCTCTGTCTTTTATATTCTTAAATATCTTGTTAGTAATTTGTCTTATTATTGATCAGTGTACTTTTCAAATATTATACAAAAACGATATCTAGAAGCTAGAATTTAATTGTAATTAGAATTTCAAAAGTAGATATGACATGTTCATTGAATAACATGAGAAATTAGAAAATGAAGTCCACTTAAATTCATTTACTTCTCTAGAAGTATCGTTAGGTTTGATTAGGTTTTCATGCTTAGCATCCTAATAAAATAGACATAAAATAATGTTCTAAAATAGTATTATTATTATAATTTTGCTTAACACTTGTTTGCACTAATTGTAATTAAAGAATATTAATTGTTTGAGCTTCTTGTTCTTTTTCTTACTTTTGTAAAAGTAAATATAGATAGAAAAGATTATTTGAAAGTTGAATATTTTTATACTAAAATTAGGACATAAAAAATGATACTTCATTGGCCAACGAAGCAATCTACAACCTATTCTAAGTCGTAAGTTTTCTTTTTCTCAAAAAAGGAAATCTTGTTTAGTTTTTTCATGTTTATAGCATACGCTGGGCTTCATTATATAGAAGTTTAGACAAGAATATTTTAGTATGCAAAATTTTACTTGATTTAGAATCTAATATTAGGAAAATAATGTACAAAATTTAGTTGATTTAGAACTCCTAATTAGTAGAAAATTTATTAAATGACTATTTTGTCTAGTGTGAAATCTATTTTGAAAGGGTAAAAAAGGCAAACGACATTTCGCTAAGGGCCTTCGTTCTTTTAATATGCATGTGAGGTGGCACTTATAGTTGACAAGTTTAAATACTAAAAGAGAATTGCAAAACCACGAGGTGTTTGAACCAAAAGGTTGGTAACTAAAATGGTAGAAATTTGGAAACCAAATCCAACGAAATAAACAATCTTAGATTTTACTACTTTCCCCATTTCACTCCTTTCCCTGACCATCCCCTATCAGAAGGCTTTGTACCTCCCCTAATTGAAACATAATGAAATTGAAGTCGCTTAATTCTTTAATTTTATTCAAAATTTCCATGCATCACTTGGTGTAAAAGAGCCATCTTATCAGCTGTTAATTTTGTGTGTAGACCATTTCGGAATCGAAATTGTAAATTTTTTTATACGCCTATCAAAAAAATTGTAAACTTTTTTATACACGTGTGATAAGGGTATTTTTGTTGAAGAGCTTCAGGACTTTGGTCTAATGGTAAGAACACGACGTGAAGGGCTTTGGTCTAATAGTAAGAACACAACGTGATGCATGGATTAGGCCACACGTCACGAGTTCAAATACTGCCGCAGATAAAAGCTTACTATTTAAGTGGAGAAGGGTGGAGGGACAAGCCCGTTATCTATCGAGTTTCGAACCTTGAGCCAACTGATCCTAGAAGATTTCTTATTTTCTCCTTTATTAGAAAAAGGAAATTTTGTGGAGAAGTAAAGGTCTTTTGTATCTATCTAACTTTGCATAGAGTTTCATCTACATCTTTCCAATAAGTAGAGATATGGAAGGATCGGACATCTTGGGCACATTCTTGGTTCCTTTTATAAACTCTGATGATTGCACATTGATTGGCAACTTTTCCATTGTACATGCTTAATTTCATATTCGTCTCAATAAGCTCATTTTCCTCAACCACATAGCAAACTTATTGTTTATAGTTTTCATGTGTTGTCACCATGGCAATCTGGCACACCTGATCTATCAACTCATGAGTAAGTCTCCTCGGGTTATCTCAGTCACACTAGGATGGCACCCTTACCGATGAATCAAACTATCTTCCGATATAGCGCATTTACGGTTACCCATGACATTCTCCTATATAGAGTTATTGCAGTAGCAATGGGCTCCTACCCCACATAGCAAACACGAGATATGAAAACCTAAGGTTGTCATTACTGCCCTCATTCTTCAGTGGGGTTTAAACTAGAAAGCAATTTGGTCCAATTTGGCTTTCATTTTGTATTTTGGAAAACAAAAAAGAGAAATGAGTCCAGCATCCCTCCACGCACATTAGCAGAACAGGAAAGGAACTAGCAATGGGGTTAGTATTGGGAAAAAAATTGACACAAAGAATTTCTATCAAGAAACCCCACAACCCAATAACAAGTTGCCAGTTTGATAAAACACAAAATGCAGCACAACATAAAAATATATAATCGGATAAACAGAGGCAGCTCAGTCTTTAGTGAAAGAAAGTTAAACCACATCATTGTTCACTAACCTGTAACCAACGACTTGAATCAAAATGATCAAAAGTAGACCTTGCACCTCGAGTTGGGGTCTGCAATATCAAGAGTAAGCAAAATATTGTGTTATGATTGCTCCAAAACATGTCATGAGTTCTACCCAAAAATCCACGTTAATTAATTACACTCATGGAATGACAGTTTCTAGCAAGATAATAAAAGCATTACACGGTTTCAAATTACCATTTATCATTAGCTCTCTAGGTCCTGACTCTTGCAAGAGCACCCCACAGGGATTGGAGGTGTGGAAACATAAATGGAGCACTACAAGTCATCTTCCTCCTCCTTGGACAGTAAGCAAGAGAGGAGGTGAAGTAAAAGCAGAGGGGTAATACTCTCCAAGTTCAATTCTTCAACCCATCCAAAGAAAGACAAAACGTAAGAAGTATATTCCTGTCGTAGTAATATGATAATTCTTCCATTCTATGCTCCTCATATACATTTTTTTACGCTGCACCAAAGTTATTTTAATGGTTCACACTTAGGCGCGTTCAAAAATATTTTAACACTCAGGTGATGAAATGTTCTTTTTCTTAAACAACTAAGAGAACAGCCTTCTTCCGAAGCAGTATAAAGGGTGTTCCCTATATTATCAGCCAATTATCCCCTATTTAAATAAAGCAAAAAAGTAATTGTTTCACGATACACTGCAGCAGGGGCATGATATGCAATAGCATAACTCAAATGTGTAGATGACTCTGGCTGCAATGGCTCTTCAACTTAGGAGTAGATAGCCTTAATGTTATGACGACTACATTAGATGAAAGTTATGATCAAAGAACTGAAGAAGAGACATTCTTCTCCCTTCACTAATTTAACCACGCATGGGCAAACCCAACAATTCGATCTTCGTAATTTGAAGATAAATATAGGAGGGACAAAAAGGATGATAAGATCCAATTACACATTTAGATTTTGATATAAGAGGTAAAATTTTCAGATGAGCAACTATAGGCATTAAGAAATTAAAATTAAATGAAATGCATTGCTAGGCATTCTTATTGAAAATACTTTTGTTACCATCAAACCTTTAACAATCACGCAGTTTACTGTAAGCAAAGTTTTTTTCTAACATCTCTTTTACAGAAAGGACGGTGAAGCCATATATACTGAATATCTGGTAAAACAAACCTGTGGAAACAATGAAATAATGTCCTTAGCTGCCACACCCAACTCCGCCAAAGCTATGATAGCCTCAATGATGTAAGGGCAATGCCTGTGAATAACAGAAAGCAACAACAGTAGGATGGATAAGACTGAGGTGTATTACAAATCAACCAATGACTGTGACACTTCATATTGCTCACTTCTTCTGCAGGTTAATCTATAAAAAGGTAGGGTCCTGAACAGGGACAGAAGAAAGAAGGAAAAAGAAGGCTAAAAGCAAAATTACCTACAAAGAGAAAGAGTAACAAATAAAGTTTACTGTTTTCTTTTCTCTTCTTGTAATGTCAAAGACTAAAAAGTTAGAAGAAGGAGAAACTAAGAAAAACATCTAGAGAAGTAAAAATAAGTACGTATACACTATCATAAGCAAATAATATTGTCTTAAAAAATCAAAACACGAAAGACCTTAAACACTCTTTATAGCATGTAACGGCTGCACGAGTATGTCTAGAACTTCGATAAAGTTTTCCCATCATGAGATTCATCTGCAAATTTCTTGCTTTGCTTGGGATTCCTTCCATCTGCGACATAATGGGGAACAGAGACTCAATGCTTGCAACTAATTTTCTCCAAAATAGATGTATAAACACATAGGATAGAAGTAAATGGCAATATTCAGTTATGCTGAGAGACTGTATTACAAAATGCGTAGCAACAGTGAAAGAAATGAGAAGAAGAAAAAACATAATTCCTTTTTCATCACAAATAGGTATCCACCAAACATTCTAAAACTATGTCCGCTCCAGATAATGAAGAGTCATAAAGATGACTGACCTCGAGAAGAGCTGCTCTATTCTCATTGAGTGCACAATGTGATGATGCAATCTTGAACTTCACCTATTATGATATGAAACAGGAAAGCCAACAAAAGACCCTCAGTAGTGTCTCTATGAGTTTAGCATTTCCAAGAATTAGATATACACCAAAATACCTCATTCTCATTAATTGCTGAAATGTTGAAAGAATTTGGCGATGATGACCTGGTTGATGCAGACAGTGCACTTCTAATGGGTGTTGCATTTTGCTTAGGAATTATTCTGTGGCAGTGCAATGCTTGTTTGTACGCGTGCTGGCAAAATAGTGAACTAAATAGTTTAACAACTAACACTATATGATCAATCTTAGTACCATACAAGTGAAAATGCACCCTTTATCAATAATTAAATTGCAGTACATGGGAGATCAATCTAAAGTCCAAAATAACCAAATTATTTACAATAGCTCTCTTGTACTCTTTCTCTCGAAACAAAGCATCGCCGAGAAGCACCTGCATAACAAATTACAAACAATCGATAAATCAATTCGTAAATAAACAAAATAAATTCCAATTTATTTATTAAAAAAAGGAGAAAGTAAACAAACCAAATTTTCAGCCTTGAGGTGTGGACTTGTTTCAATACTTACAGAAGACGACGAAACAAGAAAACATCCCTAAATTTCAATCACAAAAGAAACCAAAGATCAGGATCACCTATGCAGTAAATTACAATAATTCACAATGAGAAAAGGTGAAATCTCAAAAACCCTAAGGGTTAGTTAGTGAAAATACAAGCATTTGAGCAGAAGGGAACAAGCCGTGGTCCAATAGAGTGCTCATCTGGTCTTTCGGAACGTCCATTATTGCTGATGAGGATGAGCTCGCTTATTGAGAGAACTGGTTCAAGAGTGTGTGTGTGTGTGTGTGTGTGTGTGTGAAGAGTAGCTGATTCTTGAAGCCGCTCGCTTTTTTGAATTCCCTTCTTTGAGTTTAGTATAGCTTGGTTGGCAAAGCTTTGGTCGAATTTTTTTTTTTTTTTTTTTTTTTTTTTTTTTTTTTTTTTTTTTTTGCCAAAAGTACTTTTGGCAAAAAATTGAGGTATTTGGTCAAGCTTTTGGAATGAAAAAAATGCTTTGAGAAAAAGTAGAAGCAAAAAAAATAGTTTCTCTCCAAAAGCACTTTTTTGAGAAACATTTTTGAGAAAAAATACACTTAGAAGTAGTTTTTTAAAACTTGGTCAAACACTAATTGTTGCTCAGAAGTGCTTTTCAAACTAATTAGTCATACATAAACTGCTTCTAACCAAAGTACTTTTGATAAAAACACTTTTAAAAAATAATACTTCTCAAAATAAGTTGATTTTTACAGCTTTGCCAAACGAGCTAGTAGTCTCAATGTTAGTTGCACGAGAAGTATGTATTAAAAATAATAAGCTTTCAATTGCTTACGCTGTTGAATATGTATAAAGTTAATAATCAATTCCTTAAAATAAAATCATCTAATATATAATTCGAACCAAGTCATTAATAATATTTTTGACATAATATAGTAGGACGAAGTTGAATTAATTAAATATGTTAGAATCACAGCATTATGTGATTAAAGCTGTAAACTCACTTAAAAATACACTATTATTTATGAAGCGATACAAAAGTCTAATCTGGTCCATGATCCTTTTTTTTTTTTTTTTTTTTTTTTTTTTTTTTTTTTTTTTTTTTTTTTTTTTTTTTTTTTTTTTTTTTTTTCTGTGGGACGTTATTCCGTTTCAATTATTATCTATTTTTATGTCTAAAAGTATTAGATTTCTTAGCCACACATTCAAAACACGTTATACAGGGGAAATCATGTCATACATAAGTTGTTGCTATAAAGCATCATGTGTCAAATATTACAAACGCGTACCAAAAATCATAAATTTTCTATCGCGATAAATATTTTAAAATCACTTGTTACTGAATATGTATTTTAAAGTTCAATAATTGATTCCTTTGAAAAGAATATATATTATGGAAATCAACTCATTAATAAAGTTTCGACACAATCTAAATACGAAATGGAACTGAACATTTTGAGAGTTGATATTAGGCTATATAGATGATATTTACACCTTAATATTACCATGCTTTATTGTTGTTTTGTAGGCAAATTGCCAACAAAATGCTCTAAATGGTATTCTTTTGTTTCGCAGGGAATATTCTAAGTGAGGAAGCACCACGAAGTATTTTGGGGGCAATAATGTGAAGAAAACGCCCACTCAAGAAATACCCGAGCACAAAGAAGCAAGAAAATGGACTGAGCAAATTCCACCCGACCGTGGTGGAACCGCGGCAGATCAAGCATCAAGGCAAAATGCTCAGCGTTCACCGCGGTCGAGCTGCGGTCTTGCCACGACCCCGGTGCACTGTTCACTCGCCAGGAATTTGGGGACCAAAGTGTAAATTCGGGAAAACTTGTTCCAAACCCTTATAAGCTCTAGAAACTCGCCCTGATTGTGTTAAGCTTGTTTTTAGACTACTTTGAAGGTAAGAACAAGTGTGAGAAGATCAACCAAACATTAGAGTTTTTCTATCTCTTTTTATTTTCTTACAATTACCCATTATGAATAATTTAGTAGTTTTATCTTGTTTTGTCATGAGTAGTTAATTTCCTAGTCTAGGGTTTTGATGGAACCTATTGAAAGATGAACTTCTTGTTATGTTAATATAGTTTGCCCAGTTTAATCTCTATTTGTTCAACTATGTGCTTGTTGTAGTTAATTGACAGGATCCTCAATTAGCTGTGCCTATTTAGTGTGCATAACTCGGGAGCGAGTGCATATTTAGGTAATTGTTGAACAACACCACTCCCAAAGTATATGAGGGATCAATAACTGAGGGTTTAAAGGCGGGATTAGGGATAACGAAGCCTTGGGTATAATCTGAAGTGAGCCGTAATAAATAAAGCTAGCTAGCGTAACTCGGGAGAGTGCGTCTAGTAAATTGTCGTGATTACTCGGGAGAGATTTACGGTAATAAGAGTGCTCATGATTGATAGAGATTATTGGCTGAATCTAGGTGAAACATAACTGGAAGGGATTCAATCAATAGGGGAAATCATAACCTTAGAACCTTCTCTTAATTGTTTACAACTTAATCATAGTTAGTTTTCAGTTGCTTATTTACATTTATTCGTAGTTAGTAGAAATACCCTCAATTATTATTTACAACATTTGGGAAGTTGATTCTGTAGAATTTAGTAAGTCTAACAAGAGTAATTGATAGGTTAATTCCTTGTGGGTTCGACTCTGGGCTAAATACTCAGATTATATTTGCAACGTCCGCGTGTCCTTTTTATAAGGCATAGTTGGACGTGATCAAATTTTGGCACCGTTACTGGGGAATTAACGGTGTTATCAATTTCAATTGAACAAAATACAAAAATTCTTAGCGTAGTCAGTTTTCTCTACACCTAATCTATACATTGAAATTTTAACATTTGTTGACTTGGTTGTACAGATGCATGCCTAGAAACTCATCGAGAACTAGTGAAGTATTTGAATCATTATCAGATCCCGAGAAAGTTTTCAAGGCCTTGAATCGGGCCAACTGGAAAAACAAACAACAACAAACAACGGAACAATTCGAACCAGACATGGGAGATCACGAAGTAGACCCAGCTGTACCAATAGCGCCAGTGGCACCTCTTGTGCCAGAGGCTGCTCTCTATGACTGGGCACAACCTACAGCTGAAAATCTGGCCACAACGATCGTAGTACTACACATACAGGTGGAATCATTTCAAATCACGAATAACATGCTGCACTTGTCGCAAAACAAGGGACTATTTTTGGGGTCACAAGTCGAAGATCCTCAACAACACTTGAAGAATTTTCTGTCAATCTGCAAAACCCAAAGGCAGTCCAACGTAACTCCGAAAGCAATCAAGTTGTTATTGTTCCCATTCTCAGTGACAGGAGCTGCCCAGACCTGGCTAAACTCACTCCCTATTAATTCCATAACAACTTTGTAGGAGTTAGTCAAGCAATTTATGAACAAGTTCCACTCACCCAACAAGACTGCTCAACAAATTAATGAAATTTTGAGTTTTAAACAGAGACCAATGGAGACACTGAATGAAACATGGGAACGATTCAAAGGGATGCTGGTTATATGTCCGCACCATGGTATTCCAGATCTGATGTTGGGGCAGTGATTTTACATGGGATTGTCAGATAGCATGAAGAACATTGTTGATGCTTCAGCTGGTGGAGCATTTTTGAGCAAACACATGGAGAGAAGGCCAGAGTCTGCTTGACAAGATAGCACAGAATTCAGGATGGACAATCACGAATGCACCTATCACTCCAGTGGTGCACTCAGTGCCCTTAGATCCATCCAACTCTATGGCTGAAAATATGGCAACCTTATTGACACAGATGAGTATACTCACCAAAAAGTGGAAGAGTCAGGACAGAAGCAGCAAGTACACATCGTAGATACTACCAATGTGGGCTTATGCACATCTTGCATTAGTCAGCCAATTGGTAACCAATGAAATACATAACATGATCATCATTACTACCCTAAAGACATGAACTACGTGTCTAATTATGGAGGCCAGAGACAGGGTGGTCAGAATTGGGGTCAGCAAAATCAGTCGTACAAGCCAGGCCAGCCACAGTTCAACAATGGGAACATGGGAGGTATGAGACCTCCAAACAATATGACACCTTACCCAAGGCCACAGGGATATAACAATCAGAATCAGCAGCAGGGGCATCACCCTCCTCAGCAGCAGCATGATGGACGGTAAAAGATGGGTTTGCTAGACTTGAGGCAATGATGCAGCAGATTATTGGGTCTAATGCAAAAATTAGTAAGAGACTAGATGCATATGATTCAGCTATCAAGAATATTGAAGTGCAGATATGCCAAATTTCGATGTTTCTAAACAATCGTCCTCATGGGACATTACCTGCAGACACTCAAATAAACCCAAAAAATCAAGGCCCGAAGCAGTTGATGGCAGTGAGTCTACGGAATGGCAGAGATTTAGACGTGGAGCAAGAGAGGGCTCGAGAAAACAGACAGGCTGAGACACTCATACCAATGCCCATTGAACTAGATGAGTCAATGAAATTGACAGATGTGACACTCCAGCCTGCCCAGGAAGAACATAACATTCAGATTGAGACTGAGAAAGAAGCTGAGACAACCCAGGAACAGGTAGTTGAGGTGGCAGCTGATAAAGAGCAGTCCCAAATCATTGGAAAGAAGAGACCTCCCGCACCAATCCTTCAAAGGCTGGCTAAGTACCAAAAAGAGGAGCAATACAAGAAATTTTTGGAGATGCTGAAATAAATCAAGGTAAACATTCCATTGATAGATGCTTTGCAAGAGATGCCTGGGTATGAAAAAATGATGAAGGACTTAATGTCCCGAAAATTCAATTTCCAAGACTTGTCCACGGTGACTCTTACTCAGACCTGTAGTGCAGTGGTGACTAGACCAATTGCGGAAAAGCTATCTGACCTAGGGAGCTTTACAATTCCCTGTACTATTGGTAATTTTGCTTTCGCTAAGGCACTTTGTGATCTAGGGGCCAGCATAAATCTTATGCCCCTGGCGATTTATAAGAAGCTAGGGATTGGAAAAGCTAGACCCACTTCTATGTTGTTGCAGCTAGCTGACAGGACTGTAAAAAGACTCTCTGGTATCCTAGATGATGTGCTGATTCAGGTAGGAAAATTTGTGTTCCCTGTAGATTTTGTGATCTTAGACTGCAAGGTGGATGAAGAAATTCCCATAATTTTGGGAAGGCCGTTCTTGGCCACTAGGAGAGCTCTTATTGATTGTGAGACTGGGGAGCTCAAGATGAGATTAAAAGATGAAGAGATAACATTCAATGTGCAAAAATCTATGAGGTGACCAAGTGAATTCGCCAATTGCTCTCTTATTGATGTCGTGGATGTAATTGTAGAAACTGATGATGAAATGCTGACTATTGAGGACCCTCTTGCTGCATGTCTGATTAATTTAGTTGAAGTGAATGGCGAAGAACTGGCAGAATGGGTATTGGCGTTAGAGGGCAGAGGGTTCTGGGATAGAACTCTTGAATTTGAGCCCTAGCACTTAGAAAATAGAGAAACTCCTCCAGCCAAGCCGTCCATCGAAGAGCCACCAAAGCTGGAATTGAAGCCACTGCCCGCCCATCTCAGGTATGAGTTCCTTGGACCTGACTCCACATTACATGTTATTATCTCATCTAGTTTGTTAGATGTGCAGGCACAACAACTCTTGCAGGTACTCAAGGAGTGTAAAACTACCATTGGGTGGAACATGGCAGACATTAAGGGGATCAGCCCCGCCTACTGTATGCATAAGATTCTGCTGGAAGAGGGACACAAACCTTCCAGGGAACACCAAAGAAGGATGAACCCCAACATGAAGGAAGTGGTGAAGAAAGAAGTGATAAAGTGGTTAGATGCGGGAATCATTTTCCCAATCTCTGACAACAGCTGGGTTAGCCCAGTGCAATATGTGCCTAAGAAGGGTGGCATGACGGTGATCAAAAATGATAATAATGAACTGATCTCAACACGAACCGTCACGGGATGGAGAATTTGCATGGACTATAGAAAGTTAAATCTAGCCACCCGGAAAGACCATTTCCCACTTCCCTTCATTGATCAGATGCTAGACAGATTGGCAGAGAGGTCACACTTCTGTTTTCTGGATGGGTACTCAGGGTACAATCAAATCTCCATTGCACTAGAGGACAGAGAGAAGACCTACTTCACTTGCCCATATGGCATTTATGCCTTTCGGAGGATGCTCTTTGGCCTATGCAATGCACCCGCCACATTCCAAAGGTGCATAATGGACATATTCACTGACATGGTGGAGGACATAATGGAGGTATTCATGGATGATTTCTCAGTGGTGGGGAACTCATTTGATGAGTGCCTTATCAATCTGACTCGTGTGCTGAAATGGTGTATTGAGACTAACCTGGTTCTTAATTAGGAGAAGTGCTATTTCATGGTACAAAAGGGCATAGTCTTGGGGCACTGGGTGTCCAGTAAAGGAATCGAGGTGGATCATGCTAAAGTTGACGTGATAACAAAGCTGTCACCTCCAACTTCAGTCAAGGCAATAAGGAGCTTCCTTGGGCATGCCGGATTTTACCGGAGATTCATAAGAGACTTCTCAAAAATTGCCAACCCTCTCTGTGAGTTGTTAGAAAAAAATCACCCCTTCTTGTTTTCTGATGATTGCAGGGTAGCATTCGAGGAGTTGAAAAAGAGGCTAGTCACAGCACCCATCATTGTTGCCCCCGACTGGAAGCAACCATTCGAACTCATATGTGATGCCAGTGACTATGCAGTGGGGGCACTGCTGGGACAGCGGAAAGACAAGCTAATGCATCCAATCTACTATGCCAGTAGAACGCTGAGTGGAGCCCAGTTGAACTACACTGTGACTGAGGAGGAGATGTTGGCCGTGGTGTTTGCTTTCGACAAATTCAGATCGTATCTTATTGGCTCTAAGGTAATTGTATACACTGATCATGCAACTCTCAGGTACTTGATTGAGAAGAAGGAGTTTAAGCCACACCTAATTCGTTGCGTGTTGCTACTGCAAGAATTCAACCTTGAAATTTGTGACCGTAAGGGCACAAAAAACCAAGTCGCTAACCATCTATCACGACTTGAGGGAGTTGAAAACTCAATTGAGTTTGAGGATATTCTTGAAACCTTTCCAGACGAGCAGCTGCTCGCTACTAGTTTTGAGGAAGTGCCATGGTATGCAGACTTTGCAAATTACCTGGCCAGCGGTATAGTTCCCTATGATCTTTCCTCTGTACAAAAGAAAAGTTTTATCGTGACTGTCGCATCTATTATTGGGGCGAACCTTACCAGTTTCGAATATGTGTTGACAATATGATCCGGAGGTGCGTCCCCGAGATAGAACAATCTTCTATTTTGCAGGCATGTCATGCATCGGCGTATGGAGGGCATTTTGGAGGAGTCAGGACAGCTACGAAAGTGCTAGAGGCCGGTTTCTTTTGGCCAACAGTGTTTAAAGATGCGCACTAATGGGTGAAGGGCTGCAATGAATGTCAGCGAACCGGGAACATTTCTTGTCGCCATGAGATGCCCATTAACCCGATTCAAGAGGTGGAAGTGTTTGATGTCTAGGGGATTGACTTCATGGGACCCTTCGTCAGCTCCTTTGGCAATAAGTACATATTTGTTGTTGTGGATTACCTGTCCAAATGGGTAGAAGCTGTAGCGTTGCCCACTAATGATGCAAGAGTGGTGGTGGGTGTAGACATGTGATTTTTGATACTCCCCAAGTTTTTTCATATTTTAGCGTAAATATTCAGTTTAGGTTTAGTATCGCTCTCTTTACTTTATTTTATCTTTAAAAAAAAAGAAACTACAAAAATATTTTCCGTTATTCTAGCTAGTTGATATTTTGTCTAGTTAGTTTTATTTTTGAAAAGATACAAAAAATAGTCTTGATATTTTATTTTACAAAGGATAGTAAGAAAACTTTCACAAAATAGTTTTACTTAGTTTAGTGTAATTTTTAAGTTGTAGATCTTTAGCGAATGCTAAGTAGGATTTAGATTTTTCTAATATGATTATTTTCTTTCTATTTTAATATTACCTATTGTACTTAGATAATTAGTAATTTGTGAAGCTATTTTGTTTAAAATTAATTCAAATTTAGAAGAAAAAAAGAAGAAAAACAAACAAACAAAGCAACCAAAAAGAAACAAACGAAAGAATATCTGAAGGAAAAGAATGAAAAGCGCAAAAAGTAGAATGCAAAATTTGAACGTGGCTTTCCATTTTGTTGTTGGGTCCTTATTTGTTTATTCCATGTGAGCACATAGGCATTTTGGTGAGAACATTCTCATATCAATGGTTTAAGGCTTTCTAGACACTCACATTTTGATACTTAAAAAGGGATATACAGTAGAGAGGAGATAGAACGGAAGGAACAAGAAAAGAATAGGAAAAATCCTTAGCGCCGCATCACTCACCTTGGACAGCAAATTGACACACTTAGTGATCTTTCTTCTTAATTTCCTTCCATAACACCCAACCTTTTTCCTCTGCGATTGGTTGACAAGCTGATCTCCATATTATTGTCTACTAATCGAAATCACCCAAAACTCCGTCTCTACCCGTTTTTGTCTCCATCTCTTTCTTTCGTTCTCAAGATTAATAAAGGTATAAATCACGGGTTGAGTTTAGTGAGATGTCCGGCGGGGCTCTCCGGTGGAGATCTTGTTCGCGGTTTTGTCACTTTTGCGTTTCTAAGCTGCCACTCATTTAAATTTCAGATTTATTTGAGGTCTATTTCTTCTTTTCTTCTTTTGTTTTGCTTAATATCATGATTTCATTATTTCGCTAATTTGTCGTTGCTCTGTTTCGTTAAATATTTGAACTGATGCTTCTTTGCTCTGTTTCAAGATGCCTTGGCAATATTTGTTTACTCCATTTTGTTGCAAATTATTGTTTATATATATATTTTTTAGTTTAATCTGTTTGGATGGGTTTTGATGGCTAGAATAAGTTTTTTTTTGATTCCATGTTTCCTTGCTTTATTAAGAGATAATTGTTTTAAGCTTCACAATTAATATTTTGATGGCAACAGACTTAAATTAACAAAATTAAGCAGGCTGATTTTGAACTAATAAAGGGTGGGTGCATTATTTGGTGAGCGTCACACCTCCTTTTTACACACCCGAAGGTAGTATAAGGGAGTTTTTCCAATTTAAGTGACATTATTCGAAATGGGATTAATTATTCATTTTTTGTTCAGAGTCGCCACTTGGGATGATTTGTTTTCTGGTGTCCCAAGTCACCGGTTTATTTTTTAATCCCAAATCGAGGAAGATTTCGACATTCCTTTTGAAGTCTGCGAACCAGAAATTCTAAGTAAGGAATTCTGTTAACCCGAGGGAAGGTGTTAGGCACCCCCGGATTCCGTGGTTCTAGCACGGTCGCTTAAACTATCATAATTGACCTATTATCTGATTTTAATACATGTTTTAGCCTATGGTACATTTTAACTTTATTAAAACACTTTTAATTATTTTTAGGAAGATTCAACATTATCTTGGCTCATATATGAAATGATCATGTGTAGTATAAGTATTTCTCTTACTGTTTCTTAAAGTTGGCTTCGCAATGATGCACTAATTCCTACATAATGCAATGTATTAGCAATATGATATATCCTAATAATGAATCCGTTTTTTTAGGATGATCGTATACATGCCTCCATTGAAAAATATATACGTTTTTTAGGACCAAGATACAAGAAGTCGGCTTATATTGCATGAACTAATTTGTTGTCGAACCAGACAACAAATTAAAAACCTTAAGTGGAGGCAGAATTATTCGATAATTCTTCTCTTCCATTATTACCATGTTTTATAAAGTTCACAATTTCTCCAACTTGTAACATTAAATTTAAAAAACAGATTCATGTTTCTTTTCTTTTCTATAGGGACCTAACATAGGTGCCCGAAAGAGAATAATATACAGCCTGGAACATTCAAATCCAGAAAATCTGAGCGGTCTAAAGTGGAGGGAAAAATAAATACAGTATGTGAATGAAGTGGAATGAAAGAGTTAAAAAAATAATAATTATCTGTGTTGGGCACTCCATTTCGCAGTGATGATTAACTCTGCTTTCCCAATGTATTGTCAAACCATTTTATGGCTCCATTCAGTTGTGCAATTTTCTTTCCTTCTACGGTATGCTAGAGCTTCAAGCCATTGCATTTTCATATTCCTGGCTCCCAAACAACAACTGAACGTTTATACAAATCCACAAACAAACTTCTTCAGTCTATAATTGGTTTCTTCTGCACCAAACAAAGTAACATATAACAAGGATAAAGGTGAACAATTATGTTGAAGCAGAGCAAAGTCTCATTTGCCATCTTAATGCCTCCAGATTTAGTCCTACTGTAGAAATTCTGAAAAACTGCAGTGAACACAAAGTTTTTGTTGTCCCCTTCTTCTAACGTGAATCATGATGGTGGTCTCAACAGTTTAGCTCTTGATGGTTTATACTTTCTGTCCTCCTTTTCATGTTCTTCACTACCAAGATATCCTTAAGCTGCGCGCCACCTGCTATTTTAGCAAATAACAACTTAATGGGGAACTTTTAAGCCCCAAAAAGTTCTTTTCTTCTCTTCTTATCAATAGTCGTTGATTCAATTCTTCATCCTTAGACCAATCCACCTCATTAATTCCAGCACTTCCCAATGGAAACATTACAAAGAAAATTTGATTAACTGGTAGGTGACATACATATGCATCATGCTTCAATATCAATATTTAAGGCCATTCTTCTAATTTTTCTCATGTATTGTAGGGTTAATTACCATACATGAAGATCTGGATAGCAACGTATCTGCTGATGTTGATAAAAAAAAAAAATGACGCACAGGTGCAGAATTCTCTCCTTATCCTTTTTTGTTATTTATGTTTGTGCAAATATGCATCTTCAAATGATTGAGTTGCAGGTCTTCAATCTCAATATTTAAGTCTATCATGTTTATTTCTCTCATGTATTGTAGGGTCAGTTCCCATACAGGAAGATATGAATGCTAAGAGATCTGCTCATTTTGATTAAAAAAAATATACAAAGCGTGATTAGTATACTAGATATGTAATGCTTAAAAATAATCTCATAGCGGGAGCTTAGTGCACCGGCTGCCTTTTTTGTAGTATTTACTAATAAAGTTTTGGAACAATACAATAATATCCTGCAGAGTAAATGTTGGTGTTCAAATATAACTCCAGCCACCTGTGTTTGATGGCTCATGTATCACGGTGAGTGTGATATATCGAGCACTGGAATTTTGTAAGATACATAATATCTAGAATTGCTTCAGCTTTTTAGTATATATTAGTGTTCATTATATATTTATTTTTACTGTATTGTAGTTATAAATGAATTGATGATAATCATTTAAAATATGAGATTTTCCTATAATAGATATAAGAAAAGTCATGAGGCTAGCATCACAATTGAGAATTGATGGAGCTGGCAGTTGTGCTACAGATTGGAAGGTATAAGATTGCTTCATGAGACTTAGTAGTTATTATTAACTCTTACCTATATTTCCACAATTAGCACTCATGTGCTCCTTATTGTTTGACCTAAATCAGATATATGTTTATGAAGTTTTCTATAATAAAAGTTGTAGAAACATTACAAAAGTTACTACAAGTTGAATCCTTTTTCATTTTAAACATTAATATAATGCATTTGATAGTTTGGTCAAAGATCATGTATTTACTCTTTCAAACCAAAACTAATAATTTCTAGGGAATATTAGCAATAATTATTTCTTTGGGATTTGTCTGACTATGTAATTGGTGCAATTTCCTATCCAAATGCTCTGTTGCTAGAGAAAGTTTAGTAACATGAATCTTATGTTCCTCCTAATTACATGTATTTTGTGCAGCTACTGTTGGGCTGTTTGCAAACTGAGAAAGCGATACGGCCAACAGAGTTGGCTAAAAAGCATTTTAAAGAGAGGCTTTTGTAAGTTTTATTCCTAATGCATTGATTGTTGGCCAAGTTCATACAGTCAAACTCATTAAGATTATATTACTGATATCTACGTTGATTGGTAATTGAAGAAGATGCTTTACTAATTGGAACATTTACAACATTATGTCCGCAATTTATCTTTGGCATAATTTTATAAATTAATGCCATGCCGGTGATACTTCCACACTTGATATTAAACCTGACTTGAAATCCCTGGAGTATATGATCTATAATGTTGAAAAAGGTATATTCAAGGCTTACATTTGCAAAACTAGTCACTTTCGATTTATTTGAAGGGCGTCCTTATGTATGACTATTACAGAGTAATTCCTCTATTTGTCAGGTTTATGTTGTGGCATAGAAGATATGGATTCCTTAAAATCTGGAGCTTCGAGGTCCTTTCACCATTTAATGGATCCTAGCTTTGAACATATTCCACCAGCACAATTAGATGAGCTGGAACTTAATATAGACCAGTTCATCACATCCGAGGTACTGTGCTTTTCAATTAAATCTCTGTTTAAAATTATGTTTGTTATAGTATATACATTGAAATAATCAAATAACTCATACATATATATATATATATATATATATCTTTCTCACTCATAATGCATGTTTGCTTTTATTTTTTGTAATAACAGTTGTACATGTGCTTCTACCATTTTTGGCTCCACAATGACATTGGACTTGGTTGTTTACAAAGAAGTAGAAAAAAAACCACCAGTTTATTACACCAACGATTGATGTCTTTCCAAACGCGGGCTTGAAATAACAATTCTAATCTACCGTCATAACTTATTTTTATTGACATTCTACTTCTCAAGAAAATAGTTATTTATTTATCCATTTCAATTTAGCAGACAATTTTTGTCATCATCAGATTATTATTCCTGCATTTTGTCTCTACACAGTATTGCTGCGGGGAGAGAAGTATGTTCTGCTTGAAGTTGACCGACCTTACAGTAGAATATTTTCTCTTATTGGTTGCTGAACATGTGTAGCAATTCTTTTTGGCGTGGAGATACATAGTTTGATGAAGTTAGATCACACCGCTTCTCTGTTCTTTTGCTATTATTGGTTTTGTACAAAGATTCTAGCGTATTTTCAAAAGAAATTATGCATTTTTTAGCAACAGAGACTGAATCTTTTGATAACAAAGAGACGTACAACTTATTTTCAGACACAAGAACAAATGTTGCAGATATATAAATCCTATGAATACCATATATAACAAAGACATCTCTTAGCCTTGGTACGATCATAACGATCGAGGACGCTTTAATTTTCCAATAATGCAGAGAGATAAACTTCATAATTGGGCTTGGGAGAAATAGCGCACTTATTCTTTTGTACCTGAACTGCAGAAACATGTACATAAAGTCATCCAGATCCTTTCGATTATCCTCTTGGTCTCACAACCCGATCCAACTGAGAATTAACTTAGAGTCCATGAGATTGAAAAAAGAGGACATATGGAGATGGACAACAGAGAATGTTATATCAAAATAATTATGGGCCTGATTTTTATAATACATATATAGGGAACTGAAGATCATTCTTCAGGTGTTCCTAATACGGACTTATTTAAGAAATAATATAATAACAATGAGCCTATGACTACAAAATAATTGAAGGAATATGTTAGTGATGTTAAGATTTTCATATCAACGTAAGTTTCAAAGACTTAATAGCCTTTGATATATATGTTCTGTTACAGATAACCAATTCTCATAAATTAAAATAATATTACTTTGTAGCTCTACAATTTGGTTACCTTTGAACATTTATTTTTGTTTGGTTGGGCCGATCCACGGAAACAATCAGTAATGTTGCCATGCTATTTTAACTATTACATACGGTGGCAGAAGACATACTTGATCTCCTCCATCATTCGGCAAAGCTTGCTTCTATTTCTATGGTACATTCTCCTCCTATTTCTCAATAATTAAGTTTTACGTTAATTTGTGTGAATTATATTGATATTACTTCTTATTTCTTAGGCATTTGAATTGTTCCAAAGAAGCTTTGCTATTTGTCACACCTTTATATTATTACTTCTCATTTCTTATGCACTTGAAATATGGTATCGAAATAAAGTTGTACTCCCAATTGAAAACTCGATTGGTGTGACCATCCACCTTAATTACAATTTACTGCTCTGGCCTAGGCTGCATATTATGGGAGAAGTGCAGTTAGTTATTAACAATTGTCTTTTGGGATAGCAAGGATTCAAGAAAAATACAAATGTGAGAATATACAAAATTATTGCATAAAGTATAGGGGTTGAGTTAGAACTGTAATTTGATGTTAATCTCTAGATGAGTAACTTCTACTGAATGGGCGCTGAACATCCAACTAATAAAAAGTAGCATGAGAATTAGGATAAAATATCTGCCCCCCATGAAAAGTATTAAAGATGAAATAAGTTGATTTTGATAGAGATATTGATACTCCGATTGTATCAGTTAGTAAAGAGGAGATAAGTTGATTTTAGGCAACTTTTGCAGTTCAGAGGGAACAGTGCATAGCTTTTCTAATAATTCAAATTTTATTAGGACACTTATAAGCATGTGAATATGAATGTAGGGTAATCATATTTTTCTGATAATTTGAACTTATACGATAGAACTATAACTAAAGTTTCTCCCCTTCAAGTGTTTTGAAAAATTTCATAAAACACTTAACAAGTACTATTAAGGTTCTCACTTTATTTTATAGGTGATTTAGAGAGCAATTGAGCAGTCGAATGAATTAGAAGAGGATTCTTATGATAAAGCAATATCAAAGTACATGACAGAGTGGGGTGACTTGCCATGGGCTCATATTATTATACTCAGACACCATGTGAAAACGTTAAATTGTAAAGACTCCTTGTGGTTGCTACAAGGTTTTGTGATGTAATTCCCGCTATTATTATTTTCCATTCCATATATACATTGACGGTGCATTTACATGTTCATAAAATAATAGTATTTGCATGCTCATTTTTATCTATCATATTTTTGAAGTAATAATTTCTTATGAAAATTATATTTAATATTCTCCGCGCAAAGCGCGGGTACGAATACTAGTAAATAAGTTAAAGGAGCTACTTGAAATGGCCATTTATGTAATTCCGCCTTCTCCAATCTTACGACGAATCTATATCTATACCTATCTATCTATCTATATTTATCTATCTATCTATCTATCTATCTATATAGATACATAGATATAGATAGATAGGTATAGATATAGATATAGATTCGTCGTAAGATTGGAGAAGGCGGAACTACATAAATGACCATTTTATATATATATATATATNAATGACAAAAAGATCCCTGAAATATTGATCGACTTTTATAACCTTAAATATTTGTATAATTTAAGAACATAATTGTAAATCACCTAAGGCTAGAACACTTTTTCGATTCAAACTCTACAATATACAAAGTTAATTTTGAGTCAAATTCTTTTGGGACATCTACGTAGCCTACCAAGTTTACAAAGTTGATTTTCTAATACTGAAGTAAATCTATGTTGAATGACATTGTAATATTCAATACCTTTGCCTAATATTAGAGACCAAATTCAACTAAAATTTGCATATATTTTACCTTATTTAATAAACTTTGTCCTTTCCTTATTTCATTGAATTGAAACATATATATTCCCCGGACCAGAAAACCATGTATTATTATCATATGTCTAACCTATATTATTATTATTATTATTATTATTATTATTATTATTATTATTATTATTATTATTATTATTATTATTATTATTATTATTATTATTATTATTATTACTACTACTACTACTACTTTAAGAATTTGCTTCTTGTACTTTGTACATATTCCTCAATAAGAATCACTTTATGAAACTGGATGTTACGTGTTTCACAATTTATAACGCAAGACATATTCGTGTAAAGCACGAACATAGAGACTAGTACTATATTAAAAGAACGAAAGCCCTTAGCGTAATGTCGTTCACCTTTTTTATCCTTTAAAAATAGAGTTCACACTAAATAAAATAATCATTTGACTATTTTTCTAATATTTGAAAATATTTATTTAGTAATTTTCTAATATTTAGGAGTAGTCAATGAATTATTTTCCTAATATTTAGAGCTTTGATATTTGAATTTCCTTCTATTCTAGGAGTTCAACGACGGCATTCTAAGAATAGTCAAAAATAATATGCATACTATTTTTTCGGTCATAATTTTATCATTCTAAGGAAAGCTTAAATCTTAGAGAATTCATTTAATTTTTCAATCCCTTCATTAGGAAAGTTTAGTTCGTTTCAATTTCTTCACTAACAAAGTTTCGTTTGATTTTCAATCCCCTCAATTGGTAAGTTTCGTTCTTTTTCAAACCTTTAAAAATGTATTATATATTAGACAAAATAGTAATTTAGTTATTTCCGAAGGACTTTAAAATTATCTAAGATTTTTATTATTAATTTTTTCCTTATTTAAAATATGTATCTCTTTGTATAACAATATTAAATGCACTAAATCTCCTTTTATAAAAAAACTACTTATATTTAGGAGTTTGAGATCATTAATGAATTTGCCACTTTTATTCTCAAACAAAGTTCAACGTTAAAGTCTTTATGAATGGAGACAAGTTTAAAGCCTACGAACACCCAATTATGTCTTCTAAAAATCCTACCAAATCTGGTGGCTTTGTGTTCACCTACATACAAAATTCACAGAAGAAAAACTTTTTCTTTTTCTATTGATTCCACCAAATGACTTAATGTAATTTTTCATATAGTAAGTTATTTGTATTAATTTGTAAATCTTTGAGAAATTATGACAAAAGCATATGGAGTAACAAATATCCATAATTTTAGATTTAATATTAGGTCATACAAATAATAACATTTTTCAAAAGATATAGTTAAAGGACATTCTTTTCAAATTCATGCAAAATCGATAGATCAAATCCTTATATAAAATCGAACGATCTTTTAATCTTAAAAACAAACACTCATTATTTAACATTTATGTATAAAAAATAAGTACATATTATACTCTTTAATTCAATATTAAATTCTAGAAATACTTAATTAATAAAAGGATACTTGACAATTGCACGTCAAGTTCAAATGATACATCTAATTTCAGAGGAGACAAAGATATTATTATTACATCCCTATCATTTAATTTATGTATATCAAGTATACTCATTATTGTTATTTAACTTTTCCCTTATATTTCGAAGTTTTTAATTAATTAAATTTTATGTATTAAATCCTTCAGTATTTGAATTGTATGTAAATTTTTAATATTATACATATAACGAATTCTTTTTTTATTTAAATTATGTAAATTTTTATTTTATAACTCAAACATAATTTTAATAGAATATTTATATAATTATTTTAAATATATTTACACATCGAGATGGAGTACACATGCAAAAAACACGTACCCTAAGATTAGTTATTATAAAAGCACGAATGTTTCACGTTAAATATTGAAAGACGAAAATATCCCCAAAATATTAGCCGCCTGTTATGTCCTTCAATAAATAAATTATATCTTAAACGCTAATACCTAAAACCGTAAAAGCAATTCAAATATTGCAGAGTCCAAGTCAACGTGACATTCTTAGGGTCAAATTAGCAAAGGAAACGTATTCCTTCATTCATTATTTGAATGGAAATCAAAATCTATATTTATTATCTATAGTTCCATACTATAAATATTAGATAATCGAAAAGTTAATTGTGGAACCAAAATAAGTCAAATATTAGACAAATTTCAATTCTTCTTTGCAGAACCGAGTCTAAAAATTACCACAAATATCAGTGTTTACGCCTCATGTCATTAAAGTTAATTCTCTTTTCTTTCTTTAGCAAGTTATGCTCTACTTGAATCTTAATTAAACTGTATGTGGTCTAATCTGCCTTTAACTTTTTATTTTTTATCCTTTAAATCTTTATGGAAAAATATTCCAAATAAACACTTTAAATATTTTCTTCTTTTTTTCTGGTATATTATTATTGAATGTGTGTCTTCGTCGGTATAGACTAGATTTTGGAGACCTGGGCTTTATTTGTGAATTTTTTTAGTTCTAAATATATTTTAGATGTTTTACTATTTTTATAGTTAAATACCAGTTTTTGATTTTCCTCTTTCGTGTTGAAAGATTAGACGGAAGTGTTTAGTTTAATCAGCCAGAGAGGAGCAGCAGTTATGGTAACTTCAAGAGTGACAGATGCAATTAGCAAATTCTGAAGAAGTTTTAATTCAATTAGGATGCATTGCAGATTTTGATTTATACAAATTGCCTCGTGTGCCTTCTTCCTTCTCATGATAGTTTCAAGATCACAATTTGTAAAAATTATTAAGTAATTACATGGCGTGGCCATAAATTTTGAATATACCTATTCCATAAGTGTTTATTGCATTCTTGAAGTGATTTTAAATTTTTTAACATAACTCTTGATCACCCCCAACTATGCCTTATAAAAAGGACATGCGGACGTTGCAAATATAATCTGAGTATTTAGCCCAGAGTCGAACCTACAAGGAATTAACCTATCAATTACTCTTGTTAGACTTACTAAATTCTACGGAATCAACTTCCCAAACATTATAAATAACAATTGAGGGTATTTCTACCAACTACGAATGAATGTAAATAAGCAACTGAAAACTAACTATGATTAACTTGTAAACAATTAAGAGAAGGTTCTAAGGTTATGATTTCCCCATTGATTGAATCCCTTCCAGTTATATTTCACCTAGATTCAGGCAATAATCTCTATCAATCATGAGCACTCTTATTACCGTAAATCTCTCCCGAGTAATCACGACAATTTACTAGACGCACTCTCCCGAGTTACGCTAGCTAGCTTTATTTATTACGGCTTACTTCAGATTACACCCAAGGCTTCATTATCCTTAATCCCGCCTTTACACCCTTAGTTATTGATCCCTCATATACTTTGGGAGTGGTGTTATTCAACAATTACCTAAATATGCACTCTCTCCCGAGTTATGCATACTAAATAGGCACAGCTAATTGAGGATCCTGTCAATTAACTACAACAAGCACATAGTTGAACAAATAGAGATTAAACTGGGCAAACTATATTAACATAACAAGAAGTTCATCCTTCAATAGATTCCATCAAAACCCTAGACTAGAAAATTAGCTACTCATGACAAAACAAGATAAAACTACTAAATTATTCATAATAGGTAATTGCAAGAAAATAAAAGGAGATAGAAAAACTCTAATGTTTGGTTGATCTTCTCACACTTGTTCTTGCCTTCAAAGTAGTCTAAAAACAAGCTTAACACAATCTTGGGCGAGTTTCTAGAGCTTATAAGGGTTTGGAACAAGTTTTCCCGAATTTACACTTTGGTCCCCAAATTCCTGGCGAGTGAACAGTGCTATGCGGTCGCGGCAAGACCGCGGTGAACGCCGAGCATTCTGCCTTGACGCTTAATCTGTCGCGGTTCCACTGCGGTTCCACCGCGGTCGCGGTGGAATTTGCTCAGTCCATTTTCTTGCTTCCTTGTGCTCGGGTACTTCTTGAGTGAGCGTTTTCTTCACATTATTGCCTCCAAAACACTCTGTGGTGCCTCCTCACTTAGAATATTCCCTGCGAAACAAAAGAACAACATTTAGAGCATTTTGTTGGCAATTTGCCTACAAAACAACAATAAAGCATGATAATATTAAGGTGTAAATATCATCTATATAGCCTAATATCAACACCCCACACTTAAATCATTGCTAGTCCTCTAGCAATCCACCACACTCTATCAAAGTTCCTTCCCTAAACGACTCACACCTTGAACAATTTACCAAAGTTGCACCTAGTAGTGAACAACCTTTACCTCAAAAGTCGAATCTCTCGTACCATGCAACATTCGCGCTTACTCAAACTACTCTATACAAGAGTCAAGACTTACCTTTCCTTTGTGAATCACATGCCCTCACATCACACAAGAGAGTAGTTCTACATATAATGATATTTAGAACAATTAGGAACTTAGATAGACAAAATTCGCTCACTCTCAAAAAGAACATTCACATGCCACAGAGATGCACCATAGGCTTGCCCGTAGTGTACTACTCTACTAATCGAGCCCACTCAGTCTAAGATCAATAGGACTTTACTTGGTTGTAATGTAGGTTAAAGGACGGGTAGGATATATTTGGGAATAGTGACTAACCTCCCTAAGCACTTTTAATACAATTACATTAACCTTCAAAATCATACTTATGTCAACCAAACACTCCACCACTTTTTTTTTATTTACAACATCCCCATCCATTAGGTGTCATTGTAACAACCACCACTTATCAACTACTACATTTACTCATTCATTTTTTTGTGTGGTTCTTATTCTTTTACTCTTCAAAACTCTGCACCCTTTCTCTATTTCAATGGTTCCACTCAAAAACCAAATCACCACCACACACTTTTGCTTTTGCATAATTTCAATACCATTCAAGTGCTTAAGGCACAAACATACACCCGGTCAACCATTGAGCTTAGGCGTTACACTCTAGTGTTGATTGTGTTCATGTGTATTAACGCCAATGGATTCTCTTTCTATTTCAGCTCGTAGCTCATCAATGCTAACTAAAACTAAAAACAAAATAACAAAAACTACCGACACCCGGTTCAAGCTAAACCCTTAGAAAAGAACCGTGGCCCAAAGAAAAACCAAGGGGGAGTTACTACACTACCTAAAAATAAAATAAAAAATCTTTTTGGGATTTTCTCTAGACCAACTTCCCTCAAGAACTGTCTCAAATATCCGTCATCAGGAAGAGTCCTTATATATATATATATATATACATTTTTTTTGACTTAGTCCCTCAAGAACCCCGTCGAACGAGATCCATCGTCGGGACAAGTCACTTACCTACTTTAACTTACCTAATGAGATTATTTCTCAAAACACCAAAAACCATCAAAGCGAAACACAAAAAGAAATTAAACAACCAAATTGTTACAAATATATACATACATGGAAGTATCCCCCACCCCACACTTAAAATGTAGACATGTCCTCATGGCATAAAAAATTTAAAAACAGTGAGGTAGAGGAACTTCCCTGTAAGATCACTCCTGATCGGAGACGGTATCTGGGTTCACATGGCAAGCACGACCCAGAGCTCTCAGCCAGCCTAAGAATTTCTTCTCCGACTTCACCTGCCATTCAACCATCGCGTCTACGCGGGCACCCAAATCAGTGACTGAGGTATGCAACCCAGCCATCTCCTGCTCCAAAGCTGTCATGCGGGTACTCCGGCGGGGCTGTGATGGGCATGCCTCATCAACTCTCGTAGGTGGTGGGACCTCAGCTGCCTCCGCATCATCATCGTCAGATTCATCATCTGATTCAACAACATCTACCAGCGGCTCCATCCCAATTCTGATTTTTCTTGCCAGGAACGGGGCTTTCAGTGGCAATTTCCCATCAACTCTAGGGTCTTCAGGGACTCTAGCTAGATGGCACAGCCTGGTGACTAGAGAAGGGAAGTAGAAGCCTTTGAGCAACTCAGGTGATCTAATGAGCATCTCGTCATGGAGGATCCGAGCCACATCAAAATCCCTGTGGGCCATGAAATAGTAGATCGCTGCCGCCCGTGGTTGATTGACATCTGTCATATTGCTGGAGGGCAACATTCGACTGTTGATAATGGTGAGCCAACACTTAGCCTCCCAATTAAGAGACTGGGAGTTAAGTGTGATTCGGTGCTTTATCCATATGTATTCTCTATTTGGAACACAAATAGTCTCAAGAAGAGTTGCCCACAAGGCATTTGTTCGGCTATAAGTACGATAAACATCATATTCCCCCCAGAACACTGGCAGCTGGTACATCCTTCGGATGGCCTCTAGGGATGTATCTACCCGGGTATTGCATACAGTGACAACCCCATTCTCATGTTCCGGGCAGTTAGCATAGAACTCCCTTACCATCTGAACATTGGCCACCTCCGGTACCTCGAAGAAGATGTCCAGCTGATACCTCCTCAACTCATTGAAGATATTTGGGCATTCTACCTCTAAAGCTTGTCGGTCAATATGCACCTCATGTAGCAATTTCTTAGCTGCCTTTGCATTGTACTTGTCCTCTGCCGGTTTGGAGACAAACCTAGTGCTGTCAAACTGTGGTGCACTGGCCTGACTCCTACCTCTCGAAGAGCTTTCCGGTCCACTAGCGGAGGACCCGACATTGCGTCTCTTCCTAGATGAACTCATTTTACCTGTCAAACAGAGAAACATCTCTCAGTGAGTGTGTAAAATGTGTGACTATGGGTGGTTACTCAGACTTCACCACAACCATATCACATTAGCCCCTTATAACTCCATTGGGGCAATTTCCCAAACACCTTGTGGGCAAGACAATTTCTTTATGCACATAGCCCATATGGATACATTAAAGCTCGTTCCAAATCAAAGATTCTACTACACCATCACACCCCACAACACTTCATTCAACACCCACAAACATTCACCCCCTTCCACCACATTATACACACAACCCCTTCACCAATCAATCTCAAAAACGAAATTCAAAAGAAAAAACAAGAAGAAAACTAACAAAAATCAACGAAACATCACTACACAATTACAAATACTAGGCTAGCATATAACTACATACAATACAAAAAGAAAAGAGAGGGGGAAGGTGAGTAGCATACCTTAATGGAAGAAGAGGTGAGAGGAACGGAGATGAGGGAGTAGTAAGAGTGAAGAAGAAGAAGAAGAAAGGGGGGCTTTTTTTTGGGAGTTAGGGTTTAGAGAGAGAGAGAGATTGAGAGATAAAGAAGGGGGGTTCGGATGTTTTGGGTAGTTTTATGAGGGGGGGAGTTTTAATAAGTATAAAATATAAGAGGAAGAAAAGAAGGAAAAAGAAAAAAAAACAAAAAAAGTACCTGGTGCCCACCACGGTCGACCGCGGTCCTACCGCGGCCGTGGTGGGTTTAAAAGTCGGAGGCAGAATGTTAATGTCTCACGCGGTTCTACCGCGGTCCCACCGCGGTCGCAGTGGGTTGGATGACGCGAGGCAAAATACTCGCCTCTCACCGCGGTCGCGGTGCTGCCCAGAATTTTTTTTCTTCCTTTTTTTATAGGAAGGTACATAAGAAAAATACTAACAACAACGTTCGTGGGTTGCCTCCCATGCAGCGCCTGATTTAATGTCGCGGCACGACGCAGATAAGCGCATTTACAGTTCGCTCGACCTCTGAGGTTCTGTCAGGTGGATCTCTGTCACTTTTTTGGTTCAATCATTCCTACATATAGCTTCAATCTCTGCCCATTGACTCTAAATGTGTGAGAGTCTTTCTCCGAGGCAATCTCCATAGCCCCTGAAGGGAATACTTCGACCACCCGAAATGGACCAGACTATTGTGACTTAAGCTTACCAGGGAACAACCGTAATCTTGAGTTATAGAGTAATACCATGTCCCCGGGTTTGAAATGTCGCTCAACAATGTTCTGATCATGCAACCTCTTCATTCTTTCCTTGTACAACCTTGTGCTCTCAAAAGCCAGATATCTGAACTCGTCGAGCTCATGCAATTCAGTGATTCTCGTTGTGCCCGCAACCTTAATGTCTAGGTTCAGCTGTTTCAGTGCCCACCAAACTTTATGTTCAAGTTCCACTGGTAAGTGGCAGGCCTTCCCAAGCACCAACTTATATGGTGACATACCAATTGGTGTTTTAAAAGCAGTTATATAAGACTAGAGTGCATCATCTAGCTTTTTCGCCCATTCAGTTCTTGTGGCGTTTACAGTCTTGGTCAATACACTTTTTATCTCTCTATTGGACACTTCAACCTGTCCACTAGTCTGCGGGTGATAAGGGGTAACCACCATATGGCGTACATCATACTTTGCTAGCAACTTCTCGAAGGCTCAATTACAGAAGTGGGTGCCTCCGTCACTGATAATTGCTCTCGGGGTCCCAAAACGGGTGAATATGTTCTTCTTCAAGAATCCCACTGTCACACCTCCTTTTTACCTACACCCGAAAGGGGATATAGAGAGTTTTTTCCAACATAAAGTGACAATCGAAACGAGATTATTTTTATATAAAATTCAGAGTCGCCACTTGGGATAATTTATGGTGTCCCAAGTCATCGGTTCAAATCTCGAATCGAGGAAAAGATTGACTCTGTAGTACAGTCCGCGAACACAGAAATTCGGGTAAGAAATTCTGTTAACCCGGGAGAAGGTATTAGGCATTCCCGAGTTCTGTGGTTCTAGCACGGTTGCTCAATTGTTATAATTGGCCTATTTACTTGATTTTAGTACATGTTTTAGCCTATGGTGCAATTTTAACTTTAAACCCACTTTTATTTAATTATTTTTTTAGGAAGATTTCAACATTATTTAAAGCACGTCTTGAACCACGTCACATAAATGCACCCGCGGTCCCCAACATATTTTATCTAACATTGTTGAGAGTTGGATTTGGGTCACATAAATACACACCCGAGTTTAAGGAGATTAATTTAAATATCGCACCTAAAGCAACTACGCACTTTCAAGTTTGCGAGAGCCATAAAAAATTTAACTAAATGGCACACCCCGATTTCTAAAGGATTAAAATTAATTAAGTGAGGGCCATGGGTTATGAAGTTTTCTTGCGAATGGCGCACCTCAACTTGCTTCAAAAGAATGTATTCAACTAAAACAAACCATGAATGTTCATAATTAATTATTTCCTAAACTAATTTGAGTTGTTGTGAGGCCATGAATTATGAAAATAACTTTATGGATGAAGTACACCGTTTATTAAACCAAAGGTTTGCTTCAACTCAACACTTTACGGCCAAATTACTTGAACTAGATATCGACTTAACTCGTGAATCAATCCCACATAATGAGCACAACAGATGGACCTAATAATTGAAATATCAATTCCAAAGGCATGATTAGATAAAAAGTGAAAAGATCCCAACAAAATAAATTCTATACAAAAAGACTAAATTGCTAATGCTTCTGATTCAACAGAAAAAACCTATATTTTGCAACTTAAGAACTTAATATTATTAAATTGCTCACCAAATAATGCACCCACCCTTTATTAGTTCAAAATCAGCCTGCTTAAGTTTATTAATTTAAGTCTGTTGCCATCAAAATATTAATTGTGAAGCTTAACTAATTATCTCTTAATAAAGCAAGGAAACATGGAATAAAAAAAACTTATTCTAGCCATCAAAATCCAATTAAACAGATTAAACTAAAAAATCTATATAAACAATAATTTGCAACAAAATGGAGTAAACAAATATTGCCAAGGCATCTTGAAACATAGTAAAGAAGCATCAGTTCAAATATTTAACGAAACATAGCAACGACAAATTAGCGAAATAATGAAATCATGATATTAAACAAAACAGAAGAAGAAAAGAAGAAATAGACCTCAAATGAATATGAAATTTAAATGAGTGGCAGCTTAGAAATGCCAAAGTGACAAAACCGCGAACAAGATCTCCACCGGAGAGCCTCGCCGGACATCTCACTGAACTCAACCCATGATTTATACCTTTATTAATCTTGAGAACGAAAGAAAGAGATGGAGACAAAAATGGGTTGAGACGGAGTTTTTGGGTGATTTCGATTAGTAGACAACAATATGGAGATCAACTTGTCAACCAATCGCAGAGGAAAAAGGTTGGCTGTTATGGAAGGAGATTAAGAAGAAAGATCACTGAGTGTGTGAATTTGCTGTCCAAGGTGAGTGATGCGGCGCTAAGGATTTTTCCTATTCTTTGTTCCTTCCGTTGTATCTCCTCTCTACTGTATATCCCTTTTTAAGTATCAAAATGTGAGTGTCTAGAAAGCCCTAAAAATGTGTGGGGCCCCCATTGCTATGAGAATGTTCTCACCAAAATGCCTATGTGCTCACATGGAATAAACAAATAAGGACCCAACCACAAAATGGAAAGCCACGTTCAAATTTTGCATTCTACTTTTTGCGCTTTTCATTCTTTTCCTTCAGATATTCTTTCGTTTGTTTCTTTTTGGTTGCTTTGTTTGTTTGTTTTTCTTCTTTTTTTCTTCTAAAGTTGAATTAATTTTAAACAAAATAGCTTCACAAATTACTAATTATCTAAGTACAATAGGTAATAGTAAAATAGAAAGAAAATAATCATATTAGAAAAATCTAAATCCTACTTAGCATTCGCTAAAGATCTACAACTTAAAAATTGCACTAAACTAAGTAAAACTATTTTGTGAAAGTTTTCTTACTATCTTTTGTAAAATAAAATGTTAAGACTATTTTTTGTATTTTTTCAAAAATAAAACTAACTAGACAAAATATCAACTAGCTAGAATAAGGGAAAATATTTTTGTAGTTTCTTTTTTTTAGATAAAATAAAGTAAAGAGAGCGATACTAAACCTAAACTGAATATTTACGCTAAAATATGAAAAATCTTGGGGAGGGTCAAAAATCACATGTTTACAGCTGCCCCTCTTTGACTGGAAATACGAAGTATTTTCAGACAAAGAACGACTAGACAGGTTTTTTGACCCGACCCTTACTTACAGGGACCAAAAAACTAAGAGAAATGAGAATGTGATCGAGCCCTGGTCTCTGAGCTGCCTACATATCCTTGGCTATAAAGGAATCAGGCCACGTGTAGTTCAGAAGTGAGTGAGATGATGGAGTATGCCGAGGTGGAGAGCCGGTCGAGGTGCCGTTCCGTCGAGGTTCCGGTCCGCAGTCCTATTATTATATCAAAAATCAAAAAAAATGAAAAAGACTAACTAAGCCTGTCAACTATGAGTTACAAGATTCCTATCTATAAGTCTTCTGAAGCTTGATCTGAAGTCTTGAATGGTTCTTCATGCATACTTTAGATTTGAACCTCGGCGCTTGTTAGCTGCAGGTGCTAGCTTGTTTTTCTTTAGCTTTTTGGATCAAGATCGGACATGCAATGCTTGTGACCTTAGTCATGTCTTGAGCAATCCACCTCTTGTTTCAGCTTCTGCATTTTGGATTCACTCCCTTTTATTCCTTTTTTTTCTTTTCTTATTATTTTTTTGTTTTTGTTTTTTTTTAATTCTGGACTGAGATTACTTCCATTGATCATCTCCTCTATTGACTCGCCTTCTTGCCGCGAGCTTCTGCTACTTCTAACTTGAACTGTTTTCCTTTGAGCCTTGAACTGCCTTCCCTTGAAACTCAAATTGTTTTCCCTTGTTCTCCAGGTGGGCGCCTGATTGCTGAAACTTGAACTGTCTTCCTTTGAAACTTACACGGCTTTTCCTCAAAACTTGAACTATTTTCCCTTATTCTCCAGGTGAGCGCCTGATTCTACAACAAAACAGACAAAACAAAAGAAATTTTTCTGCCCCAGTTTACACTAGGAAGATTTGTGAGTTGTTAGCAAAACTATAAATCACCTGCGCTGCTGATAAATGATGCAATGATGAGAGTAAAATTAATGGCTCGACCAGGATGTGTGTCTCTTATGCGTGATTGAACTTGCGGAAAACTATAAACTAAACTTGACTAAAGTAAAGACTGACCCTATTCTCCAAGCGGGATCCCTGATTTCAAGAAAACTAAAAATTGACCCTCTTTTTTTAAAACCAGACTTCCCTTCTTCTTTTTTCAAATTCAGACTTCCCTTTTTTTTTAAATTATTATCCTAGGAGAAAATTCACCGGACTAGGTTTTCTATCTTAGGAGAAAGATTCATCAGTCTAAGATTTTGATCCTAGGAGAAAGTTCATCAGACTAGGTCTTCTATCTCAGGAGAAAGATTCATCAGACTAAGATTTCTATCCTAGGAGAAAATTCGTCAGACTAGGATTTCTATCTTAGGAGAAAGATTCATCAGTCTAAGATTTTGATCCTAGGAGAAAGTTCATCAGACTAGGTCTTCTATCTCAGGAGAAAGATTCATCAGACTAAGATTTTGATCGGGAGGAAGCTCCATCAGACTAGGACTTTTTATCCTAAGAGGAAAAATATGAAGATCAACGGCAAGATTTTATGCACAATAGCAAGACAAATAAAGGCAAAATTTTGAGAAACTTCCCTTTGTCGGCCCTTCTCTTCTTCTTTTTTCTCTTTTTTTTTGAACCATTTTTCTTGCACTGCTTTGTTCCTGTTTCACACAAAGAAAAATTTGTCAGTTTTAAAAATGGTGGTCAGTTTGTGGCCTTGAGTATTGGGCACCTTGGCTTCTGCTCAATCAGCTTGAGTCGGTTTCAAGAAACTTTTGCTCTGCATCAACCCTAATTGTTTCACACCAGTACCATTTGTATTTGCAACTCAAACAGCCTTATCCCAATTGGAGATCTTTGCTTAGGTGAACTTTTCCGATATCTTGAATGACTTCCTGCTTTTGAGCAATTTGTCTGCTAGAGAAAGTCACCAGTTATCTTTGCTTGCGCCAAGTAGGCTGACAAGAGTCTTTTGGGGAAACCTTTACATGAATCCTCAAAGCATGTTGGTAGTAATAACTGAGTGTGCTGGCCAAATTCACTTTATGCAACTGAAAAGCTGGTAGCAGATTTTGAAATCTTTTCTTGCTTGTTTTGAGAAGGACTGACTCAAAGTGAAGGACACAAGGATGCAAAGAAACAAGTATCAACAAGAAATGCCCCTGTCGGAAGGACAGAAGGAAGAGTTTTTTTTCTCAATAACTAGCCTTAATGATCATGACATGCATTTTAGACTTAGCGGCCGATCTATCAAACTAATTCACTCTTCCCTTTTACTATTCTTATGACCTTTGAAGTCGGGCTTGTTTATGCCAATTCTTCGCACCAGCTTTATGGCTCACTTTCGACTAGTGATGCCCCGAGGAGTTTTCACCAACAAGTCTCTCTCATTTATTCATCTCTACTTACCGTCGCCTTATAGTGCCCATGAGGGTTTCACTAGTAAGACTCTCTCATTTTTTTTTTCTCTTTTGCTTTCTTGTGCGAGCAACTTGACAGTGTTCTATGTTGCGTGAAAACTGTTGCTTATTGCATGCTTCTCTTGGCGTTTCTTGAATGCATATCGGGAGGTCTTCGTTTGGAAGGATTTTGGATAGGGTTGGAAAGAAAAGTCGGCATGAAGGCTCAAAGTAGACTCATACTGAGGGGTTGTAGACTTACAACTCTTGGAATAAACTCTTTCAAAAGTGAAATAAAATCTCTGCCCAGTTTCAGATACTGGGGATTTTTGGCTCCTTTTTTTTGAATTCTTATTTGGGTGGACTGAACCGTGAGGCTGCCTACGTATCCTTTTTTTTAAGGAATCAGGTCGAACGTAGTTCAAACATCTGACCTAACTATTTTTTCATCTTTCGTTTTTTTTCTCTGTCTTTTTTTTCCTTTTTTCTTTTTTTTTTTATTTTCAAAACAGGTTGCCCCAGCTTCTATTTTCTGGGGGCATGGACCTTTGCCAGTTCTTTTCTTCTTCATTTTTTTTTTCTCTTGAAAATTGCCCCAGTTTGTACTCTTGGGACATGGACTTTTTTTTTCTTCTTTTTTTTTTCATTTTTTTTACTCTTGACTCTAAACTTGATTCCAAAAGAGGTGGTCAAAGAAAATAACACAGACTCAAAAGGGGTAGCGAAGGATATAAATTGTTTGTGTAGCAGAAAAAGGGCCTCCCTGCCTCGAGAACGCCAAACATAGTATCTTTTCGTGATCACAACATTGATGAACATGTCTGTCTTCTTGGTGTGTCATGGTCACAAGACACTTTCCATCTCTTAATATCAAACTTTCCAACAAACTTCAATTGATTAAACATCATCAAGCCCGATCTTCACAATGATTTGAAGGTGAATTTTACTCGACCTTAGTTCCAAAGTATTCCAAATCTTTATTCATCCTTAAATGTATTTTTTTAGTTATCCAATTCCAGATTAAATCAGTTCCTAAGATCTGGCCAAACTTTTCGCATGCATGTCATGTCATTATAACTAGCGACAAAAGAACTAGGAACAAAATGACACAAAAGGACAAACTGTATTTTATTGAGTAAAGGATGAAATAGTTTTACAACTAAACAAGCAACCCAAAATACGAGTTACAACCCTAAAATAACCCGAATAATGAAAATAGCAACAGAACAGATAGACAAGACTCACACAAATAGAATGGAGGGATAGAAGGATTTGACTCAATAAAACAAATAAAATTTGGATCACAACCCTGAAATAACCCAGATAATAGAAAAAACATCAAAACAAGCTACCAAGATTCATTCCTAGTAAGGAGGGAATGACTTTTCAATTGCTAGGCTTGACATTTAGCCACAAATTTGCTCATCAGAATCAGCAGAGCCTTCTCCAATTTCAACATCATTAACTTCAGTTAACAAGTACCCAAGAGGATTCTCATACTCCATGTCACCAGGCATCATCCCTATAAAGTGTGCATCATAATGTGCAGATAAAGCATTCTGCGCGATATTCTGGGTGTCACTGTCTTGGATCACAATCAGGTTTTCCTGGATCATCCTTTCTATTTCTTTTTTCAAATCCTGACAGCTTTCAACATTGTGCCCCTGGGCATTGGAATGGTATTCACACCTTTTAGAAGAGTCAAATCTTCTTGCACGGGGGTCCACATGATTTGGAGGAATAGGTGCAATCATATCATACTGCTTTAATTTCTCAAACAAGCTTTCATAGGACTCTCCTATTGGTGTAAAATTATCTTTTAGCCTTTGTTCCCTTCTATACCCCTGTCTTGGATGTGGATTATAGGGCATTTGAAAATTTTGTGGAGGCTGGTGGAGATTTTGCGGTGCTGGTGCTCGCCTTCTGGGGTGTCTTGGTGGCCGGGCAACATACTGAGGTGCAAAAATAGAGTATTGAGGG